CACCCACGCCAGGCATGCTGGGGGCGGGGCCACAGTCATCCAAGGGAAAACTCTATGGTGATTCCATACACCAAGGGTCAGACTAAATTAAGTGTCTATTTAATACCTGAGGGGGGGGAAACAGGCCTCTCTTGGCAGGGAGTTCTGAAGGTGAGAAGCCATTACAGAAAGCACCCTATTTCTATTCTCACTCAGTAAAGCAGCAGATACTGGAAGAAGCCTTCTCTGAAAATGCCAATGAACTGCAAGGTTAAAACAGCATTCCCAAACACTTGAGGGTTGATAACCAGCATCTTGCGTGTGAATTGTACCTGGAAGACATTAGGAAGCCAGTGCAGATTCAGGGTTGAAGCTTTCAAACAGCCTTCAAGAGTGGCACCACACAGAGCACTTTGCAGTAACCTGTCTTGGAAGTCCTTATTCATGTCCTTATTCTCCATGAAAAGGTACAACTGACATAACATGTGTTAGTGATGATAAGACACTCCTGGCAACACCTGGGACTTTAGGAGCCGATCATGCCCAGAACAAGTAACCGCGTCAGTATTCTTTATTAAATAAGAAAACAAGTATTGTAGCCTGTCTTGTGTTGATTCAGATTTACTTTATTAAACCAGCCCGTTACTGCTCCAGATACTGATTCAGAGACAAGACCAGTACTCTTGAATTTGGTGATAATGAACATATCACTAGCTGTTATCAGTAAACCAGTGTATGCTGGTGACAAGTCATTCCAAAGTTGCTCCCCCCTTCAGAATCAGACAGAAAACCGATGGTATTAAGGACAAATTAGAACCCTGAGGAATTCAACAGAGTAATTCTTGGGAAGGAAAGCAATCTTCACTTCTCCTAATAGTAAAGTGGCTGGCTTCAGGCATAATCATAAAAGCAGGAAAACCAGTCCACCCACAGACAAGGTAGGGGATTTTAGTACTTGGGGGGCTCCCCAGATATGCAGGGGGGAAAATGACTTTGTAAATTAACTTAGGGGGGAAACCCTGAAGAAATGGCCTGATGACTGAGCATGTCCAAAAGAATATCGACAAGGGCGGGGGTGTTGCGCAGTGCGTTTGAAGCAACTTTCCAGCACCACCAGCCACCAGAACTTTTCCAGCCACTCCAGCACTCACCAGCATTCACTGCAAAGGAGGTTCTGTATAGCACCACACCAAGACAGTCCTGTGGTAAACTATATGCAGATTTATTTACAATATATACACTCCACTGACAAACTGCTCCGCCAAACACCATATCCAAAGAGAAGAAGATACAGAGCATGTACTTGTCCACTTTGTCCAATCAGCTTCGTGCTGAGTCATGATGTCACCACATACCTTATCTGGTCTGAACCGGTCAGAACTTAGCAGCAGCTTGCCTGCTGTCACTAGCCTTGTGTGTGGCGTGTGGCAAAGTCAAACCGGGCGGGGGGGGGGGGGGGGGGAGATTAGCCTGCCCTAGTCCTTGGGGATTATAGAATCCTGAAGGGGTAAATTCTAGGAATGGGGGATTTCCAACTTGTTTTTTCTTATCATTAATCATTACAGGCCCCAACTTGTTCTTTTGAATAACTTTGATATTAAGAACTTATCAATAGGATGGCAAAATAGGGCCTTCCCAAGTATGTAGAAAAGGGCAAAAAAAAAATTCCTCACCTCTTCCCCCATAGGCCTGGTCTGATGAGGACTAAGCATGCTCAGTGCCATTCGGGAGATATGGAATACTGAGGGCAGATGAGCATCAGATAAAAAAGCAAGGAAGGAAAACAGGGTTGATAATCAGTTTGCTCCCCCCCCCCCCGATCTAGTCTCCTGGCATGAGATATGTGGGTTGGACCACACATTTCCCCCCCTTTCCCCTGCAATTCCTTGCAGACCTTCAATTTGTATTTCCCAGCACCATCTTCTAGAAAGACAGCTCAGATCATTGCAGAACCCCTGGAGAACAGGGCCTTGCATTCCGACCAAATCTCGTAATCTCTCTAGGCAGAGTAGATTATTAATAACACCAAACAGCAATAAGAGTTACATTAAAAGTTTCACACAACCCTCTGAATCTCAAGACACAGACTTTCCACCAGGACAACTAAACTGAAAGAATCTAGAAAGTGTGCATTGTGATGAATGCAAGGCTGTTCATCCCAGAGTTTGAGTGATTTCATACCTGACAATGTAATGGTGCACAATAAATTAAATCAAATTAGTTTTCGGCTAAACATTAAGAAGAACTTCCTGACAGAGCAGTTCCACAGTGGAACAGGCTTCCTCGGGAGTTGATGGGCTCTCCTTCTTTAGAGGTTTTTAAACAGAGGCTAGATGGCCATCTGACAGCAATGCTGATTTTGTGAACTTAGGCAGATCAGGAGAAGGGCAGGCAGGAAGGGTTGCTTCAGTGCCTAGTTCTTGTAGCTCTTTCTTACACACCCAGGGAAATGCTGATCGCCACTTTGGGGTCAGGCAGCAATTTTTCTCCGGGCCAGTTTGGCCGGTAATCCTGAATTGCCATCTTCTGGACATGGAGCGAGGGGTCACTGGGTGTGTGTGGGGTGTTTGTGAATTTCCTGCATTGTGTAGGGGGCTGGGCTAGATGACCCTGGAGGTCCCTTCCAACTCTATGATTCTATAATTCTATGTGATTTTAATTGTATTGTATTTACTAGTGTAAGCCGCCCTGAGCCTGCTGTAAAGCAGGGCGGGCGGGGTATAAATCAGATAAATAAATAAATATAATGACAGAATAATGGTGCACAATAAGTTTCTGCTGTTCTCAGTTCATGCAAGATAAACAACCACAAAAAGCACAATTCAGCCCAGATCTTCAGTGAACAATCACAGAGCCAAGATCTTCAGTGAACAATCACTTGATAATGAGCTTCGTTAACCATAGTTGTGCACTGTCTTAATCGGATAGATCGTTAATAAATTATTAACATCCAGCCCATTTGAACATTTATTTGTTCAAATTATTTACAGTCTGCCTGTCTCACTTGTACTGATTACAAAGAGTGAGTCAATACAATCGACAGATGGGATATTCAATAAACAATAAAATAGGATTTGGGTTGTAGAACCAACCAGAACAGAATTGAAGCAAGGCACAAATATTACCATGACACATTAAATGATGCATAAATTACATAGTAGTATCCTAGTTTCAGCAAACCATACACAACTCTATTGCCTGTGTAGAAAAGCCCTCTTGAATAATTCAGTTTTGCATAGTTTGTGGAAAGCCATGAGAGTGGGAGCCTCCCTTGACCGCCTGAAACAGGCCATTCCACAATGGAAAAGGCACGCATACAGGCTGAGGCAGTTGTTGATTTTGCCCATTTGCAGGATGGCACCCACAGAAGACCCTGCTCCGATAAGTGAAACTGTCATGGTGGAGCTTAGGCGGAAAGGTGACCTCACAGATATGAGAGTCCAGGACCATGAAAGGCTTTGTAAGTGATAGCCAGTACCTTAAATTGAGCCCCAAAACTGATGGACAGCCAGTGGAGTGACTGCAGAATGGGAGTAATATGCATGCTCCATCTAGCTCCCAATAATAGCCAAGCCTGGCATTCTGCACCAACTGAAGTTTCCGCATTGATTTTGAGGGGAGACCAATGTATAGTACATTGCATAGACTACTCTTGATGTTACTGTGGTGAGGATCCAGGTGGTCAGATCACCTGTATCAAGGTGAGGGACCATCCTTTGGGCTAGGCTCATATACTGGCATTCCAGCCACAGAGCCAATTCTTTTGACCACAGAGGGTAGAAGGTTAGCTGTTCCAAGGTCTCACACATTTACTATTTCAGTGCTGCAACTTTTGAGAGAGAATCCAGAAGCTGATAGTAAGAGTACTTCAGGTCATAGTCCATATCATACCAATAATTCACTAAGAAAAAAACAAAAAACAAGACAGATGATCTTCAGGGCAACTCCTTTCAAGTAATATTCATACCTACTTTTTTTATTCATTTGGCGTAATTTTGTGAACAAACGGCAGCACAGCCTCAACACTGACTGGTAGCCATTATGCTTTATATGAGAAACCCTGTATGAAGGGGACTTGGGCTCTATTCTTAAGCTAAGCTAACAGTACAGCAGCCATTAAAGCAGAGCTATGTGGAAAACTTGGAAGCTAAGCAGGGCTGACCCTGACAAGTACTTAGATGGGAGACCTCCTCGGAATACTAGCAGTCGAGACGGAGAGGCAGGCTTTATTCAGCCACCTCTCTAAATATCTTCCAGGCCCCCAGTAGGGGTCAGTGCACAGCTTCAACACCGACTGGTAGCCATTATGCTTTATATGAGAAACCCTGTATGAAGGGGACTTGGGCTCTATTCTTAAGCTAAGCTAACAGTACAGCAGCCATTAAAGCAGAGCTATGTGGAAAACTTGGAAGCTAAGCAGGGCTGACCCTGACAAGTACTTAGATGGGAGACCTCCTCTGAATACTAGCAGTCGAGATGGAGAGGCAGGCTTTATTCAGCCACCTCTCGCCACCTCTCTAAATATCTTCCAGGCCCCCAGTAGGGGTCAGTCACCAGAGGTCACCATGACTTCCAGGTGCGTGCGCGCGCGCACACACACAAATACAAAAAAAAGTTTTCCACATAGGAAGCCACTCCCATAAACAGTTTGCCCCATGGGACAGCATCCAAAGAATTTCATTTCCAAGGTACTACCACATTGATGGTATATGAACTGGTCCTCTTGGGCAAGGAACTTTCGGTCACTACCCTGCTTACGCCTCTCTACTTGTGCGAAGTATGCGGGGAAGGGCAACAAGCGGGACGAGTGGGAGTGTTGTGTTGTATTTCCCCCCCCTCCGGCGCGGCCTATCGCTACAAACTGCGGCGTTGGAACCACGACCCGGAGTGCAACAGCACACAGACTATCTGACCGGCAGCGTGGGGTCGATTGGGCCGGGGGAATTGCAGAACAACGCGGCGGCCCTGGCGGGAGCCTCTTCTTCTATACTTGAGGTCCCTTCGGGCTGTCCTGAATATCTGCCTGCTTCCCCCTGGAGCGGACCGGGACCGCCGGCCCAGGACCATTGGCCTGGGACCACCAAGTCGGACCGCCGAGACCTACCGGGGGTGCCGCGGTGCAGCGGGGGGCCTCTTGGTGCCGGCGGAGCGGCTACGGAGGGACCGGAGGCCTGTCTTTAACAAGGTGTTTCCCCCCATCCTCTTCCTACTTCTGGTGGGCTGCTTTCCATTACAACTATGTACAGTCCCGTGGTGTTAAATTGGAGCTTCTTAGTCTCCTAGGATTTTCCCCTACTCAGTGGCAGAAAAGATGCTTGATAACATTAAATCCTGGGCTGAGTACATCGTGGAATGAGCTGCAAAGGATCCATATAGATTTCTAGCCACAGTGATCCTGGCTCTCACCCCCTTATTCTCAGCAAGTGCAGTACTTAACAAGGTTATGTAATAAACTTTTTAAAAAGTTGCACGTTAAAATATCACATTACTGTATAAGTAATTGATTTTCATGTTCTTTCTTATTGGGATTTCTTGCCAAGCGCTTAAAGTCATACTGAATCACAGATCAAACTGGAGTGCAAAATTCAGTAGATGTATTTGGTAGATCGAATAGTTAATATTTTAGCTGATAACTAGTGGAGCCAATTTTAATTCTTGACACTGAGTTTGGACAGCAGCTTTTTAAAGGTCATTCTATTCAAGATAAGGGTTCAATTCAAGTATGTTAGCTTAGCTTGAATAAAACTTTGTTGGTCTTAAAGGTGGCACTGGACTCAATTTTTTTTTAACTTTTCCTTTGTTACTGTAATAAAGACACAAGGTAGCACTGATGCATCTTGCTATATCTGCTTTGTGCATTTTGTATGGAAATAGCTTCTGCATTTTCAAAGGAGGTTGTGGGAATGAAATATGTCTCAATGTACAAATATGACCTAGGAAACCAGGCTGGTCTGGCTGTTGTGGCAAACAACTTTGGCATACACCATTATTCTCACCTGCTATGCAGCCATGTGACTGCCGAACATGATGGAACCAGAGAGAAGGGAGATACAACATCTCTCCAGCCTTCACAGTACAATTCAAAGGCTTTGCCTGAACATATTCTGGGTATCGTTCTAAATCTGGATTTAAAGGGTCCAATGGAATCCAGGGTACCTGTGAGGATAGAAGATTACATAACACAGATATCTTTCAACAAGAGAGATATGCTTAACTCCCCAAGCCAGAAATTAATTACAATTTTCCTCTTTTCTTACGTGAGAAACACCTGCCAGTGGATCCTCTCCAACTATCATGCAAGATGAGAACATTTAGAACATGCCCTTCTGCTGCCCTAAAGCAAACCTAAAGGTCTTCCCCCAATTACATAAATTATCAACCATGGTGGATTCATATGTGGACTGCACATGCTTAAACCACTATTTTTCTTTACATGTGAGAAAATATTTCTGACCCAACTATGCACTGACATGTACATTCCCCGTGCATCAACCATACCACACCTCTAATAATAGCCACTGAAAACTTGTTTCACCAGTCTTTTTGTGATGACCTGTCATTACTAAAGCAATTTAACAGGAATG